ACAACACCACACCAATTCAAAACAAAACTAGGAAATGGAACAAAAGAATATCTCAGGAATATACTGCTGCTGTCAACACAGATGAAATCAATCACATCAACCAGCAACTTATAGAGGTAGGATTAGGTGTAAACAAAGAAAATAGCCTTAATGATATTGTGGATAAATTAAGTGAAATTTTCATCAAGGCAGCTAAAGATACATTTGGAACTAACACCATCAGGTAATCGAACACTGTAAAACATGTTAAATTAATTAAACCATGGTTTGGCAAAGAGTCCAAATTAGCACGAGGGAAGTACCACAAGGCCAGGACATTCTTTAATAAAGATAAAACAACACAAAATAAAATGAGGCTCGTAAATGCAAGCAGAACATATAAAACGACTCTCGTCAAATATAGTAGACTCCATAGAGATGTGTTGCAAAAGAAGATAGATAATCTGCAACAACATGATACTAAATCTTTCTGGAAATTGTTAAAACGTGGAACACGAAATGATAAATCACCACCTATTGATGAGCTTTTTGAATATTTTAGGGCACAGAATGAAAATAGTGAGATTGAAACAGATACGAACATTGACTTTAATACAGACTCTCATGATACTGTTCTGAATCAGCCAATAACAACACCTGAAATATTGCATGCTATACCACAGCTGAAACACAACAAGGCAAGTGGAATAGACAACATTATAAATGAATATATCACAAGTACACAACATATTATGCTTAAAACTTATGAACTTTTGTTTAACAAGATACTTGACAGTGGACATTTCCCCAAAACATGGCTAAAAGGAATCATAAAACCAATTTACAAAAACAAAGGAGACATTAATAATCCAGAAAATTACCGGCCCATAACATTAGTCAGTTGTCTGAGTAAACTATTCACCTCGGTTCTTAATAACAGACTTACCACATTTTTGGACTCAGTAGATGCTATATCAGAAGTGCAAGCAGGATTTAGGAAGGGATATTCGACAATGGATCACATATTTACTCTTTATAGCCTAATAAACAACTTGAAGAATCGAAAACAAAAATATTCTGTTGTTTTATAGACTTTGAAAAAGCATTTGACAATATTTGGAGAATTGGACTTGCGGGTAAACTTATTAAAGAAGGTATACACGGTAAATGTCTGCAAGTTATCCTCAATATGTATAAAGGAATTAAATCATGTGTGACTAACAAAGATGAAACCAGTCCAATGTTCTCATGTATTAAAGGTGTCAGACAGGGAGAGAACGTATCACCTCTTCTCTTCTCCATCTTCCTAAATGACCTTGAACCTTTTCTTATATCTCAAGACTGTGAAGGTATAACTGATACTAATGACTGCCAAGAATCAATTATAACTACATCAATAGTTCTTTTTGCATTATTATACGCCGATGACACAGTACTAATAGCAAACTGTAAGGAAGACCTACAGAAACTACTAGATGGATTCACACAATACTGTAAACACTGGAAATTGAAAATTAACGTTAAATAGTCCCAAGTAATATTTTTTGGAGGAATCAAGAAACACTACGAAACCAAATTCTCTCTGTGCAATAAACATTTAGAAAACGTTAAATCATACAAATACTCAGCTATTATATTTAATAAAAACTGTACATTTAATGTAAACAAGAAAGAACTGTGAGAGAAGGCAGCAAAGGCAGTCCATTTTATCTTAACAAAATCTAGATATTATAGTTTATCTATAAGTTGTCAGTTAAAACTATTTGATGCTACTGTTCTACTAATTTTAATATATGGATGTGAAGTATGGGGTTTTGAAAATTTATTTATGATTGAAAATGTACATTTATCTTTTTTAAGAAAACTAATTCCTGTAAAGAAAAGTACAGCTTTATATATGATATACGGCGAAACAGGACGAAAACCTCTGTATATTACTGTCATGACAAGAATCATTACTTTTTGGGGAAGAATGTTATCTGGAAAAGCCACCAAACTTTCTTTAATTGTGTATAAAAATTTGTATTATAACTAAACTGTAAATAATCAACACCAAAATTGGATAAAGTTTGTTAAACATATCCTTGTTATGACAGGTGATAACAATGTTTGGATAAATCAGTCATTTTCATCAGTTGATTGGCTTACATGTGTGATTAGAACTTGTCTGGAAGATCAGTTTATACAACGATGGAATTCTGATGTCACAAATTCAAGTACAGGAAATTTTTATAAAGTCATTAAAGATAATATCTCACTGGAAACATATCTGTGTAATTTACCAAAACGAGTGTACATACCTCTACTACTTTTCAGAACTTCTTGCCATTATTTACCGATTGAATGTGGAAGATTGAATCACACACCTTTATTAGATAGAAAGTGTACTGTTTGTAAAAGCCAAGACATTGCGGATGAATATCATTATATTTATAAATGTGAATATTTTAAAGAAGTAAGACAACTATACATACCAAAGACTCTTATTGTACATCCATCTATGTTTAAACTTCAACAGATGTTTCATTGTAAAAATAATATCTTCTTGAAAAAATTATCAAAATATTGTAAAATAGTAATGGCTATATTTAAATAACTATTATAGCTGCCATCACTTTCATACGTCACATCTCCTGTTAAACCTCAACATGCTACTTTTTGTAGCCTTGGGCGTAATAGTTCTGTTCTGTTCTGGTAGTTTAGGGCACTGGTTGCACGTACAGTGCCCAACACACTACGGCTGGTCACGCCATGGAAATTTCAGTTTTGAATATTTCCTTATATTGAACATAGTTATTATGGAAAACATAAGATTTTGAATACATTATAAATCTGCCCAGGGTCCTATGCCAGAAGGCATTGTTGACCTCTATTTAGAGAGAGAGAGAGAGAGAGAGAGAGAGAGAGAGAGAGAGAGTGAGAGAGAGACTGGGCGACAATGCGACAACGAGACATATTCTGACCTTGACAATGCCATAAATGGCCAAAATGTCGAGTTACCGCCTTGTCGCATTGGTTAATTTTGACCCGTTTTTCTTGTTCGTTTGTTGTTTTTTTTGTCAGGGCGACAGTGCGACAAAGCGTCAATGTCCCTTCTATAGGATTCCACAGTAATCCGTACAAATAAAACTGAGTTATGAAATAGAAGCCTAACATGCCAATTAAAAGATAAAATGTCAAATTGCACTTTTGCATATATCTTCAAGAAGGATTATCAATAATGGGATTGGGATGAGTTCAACTGCATGCCGATGTCAGAGTCTAAACCTTCTGATTAACCATAATTCTCAGAGTGAATACATCTTGCCAAATGTGTGATATGTATTATCTGTACGAACACATTATAGATCCCCGTCCATATCTTTGACGGACAAAATGTTTTTACAGGCTTGAACCACTTCGGGATTTTATCCCACATCAATCTGATACGCCATGATATAATTGAAATAATGTTCAAAGTGGGGTTTAATTCACTCACTGTATTATGTGTTACTGCAACTGTTAATATTATGTGTAGTGATGTTATGCAATATGTACAAGAAAGCATATTCAATTATCCAGTTGATCTTATTAGACTATACTTGCGTCAGTGTATTTTATTAACGCCCAAAACCGAGCCATGCGACGACGTTCCACTCCATTAAGGTTGTTACACTAATGAACACATACAAGTCAATTCTTATGATTTTGTATATCACTATTTTATACCTCGAGGGATGTAGCGCTAGATCTATACGTGTGACTTCTTGTTTACGCTGACAGCCACAAAACAGCAAGTTGTGTCGCGGAATAAAATAGTTCCCCAAAAAGAGAGGTTACACGAGCGTATATATGCTCAACTTGTTTTACGAGAACATCTGTTTCAGTTTGTTTACAACAAATGTCTTCTAATCATATTCTTATTTGATTGGAAAGGTCTGTTGAGAACTACATCGGTAAGCCCATCACAATGACAAAGCGTCGTATTACATTTACATAAAGAACAAGACGTCAAAATGGCCGGCACGATAAACGTGACGAGAAAGATTTCCGAAGTTATTAATGAACCTGTGTCTATTTCAAGTGTTAGTCATCACTGACCAGCTTGCCGGTCATTGGAAGGTGATTGTAAAGATGTGTCAAAAAGATACTAAGGTAAGTTCCTAGATTGCTGTATACTGTCATTGTTGTCTGTACACGGATCGAGTCGATACTACGATAGATGGACTTTCCTCAGTTTTGTTCTCTGGGATGGATTGTACCGAGGATATCCTTGAACGGGCATGCAATCAAACTCTCTGACTTATTCCGATCCAATGTATGCTAAAACGCTAAGTTCAAAATTAAAGTATCTAAATGATTAGAAACAACGCTTCTGTATTCTTTCGTGCTAAGGAATTCCCCAGGAATGTGAAAGTAGTCCGTCAATGTTCACCTCATTTCAGGAATACAGTCTCGTGAAATACGTATGGACGTCAAAATATGTCGTTCATACACTTATGAAATTCAATTTCGAGGTCATGAGACCGACCTCGCGTCCAATGGAAAAGCCGCATATCGTGTAAACTTCACATTAAAAAATAATTTACTGTTATACCCAAACTCATTGTCCGATAAAGGTAACTGTGAATAGCGGAGGGATATGTTATTTCAATAAACTACGTAACATGGTTTAGTTTGACTTCTTGGCGCGTGTCTGAATTCCATTAACAGATTTCATATCCTAAAACTGACATAACAGGTTTCATATCCTAAAACTGACTTTTCAGCGTCCCGTGAAGATCCGGGTTAGAATAGATCTTCAGCAACCCATGCTTGCCGTAAAAGGCGACTATGCTTGTACGTAAGAGGCGACTAACGGGATCGGGTGGTCAGGCTCGCTGACTTGGTTGGTGCATGTCATCGTATCCCGATTGCGTGGATCGATGATCACGTGATTGTCTGGTCCAAACTTGATTATTTGCAGACCGCCGTCGTAAAGCTGGAATATTGCTGAATGCAGCGTTTAACAAAAAACAAAAAAACAAAACAAAAAACATAAATCAGATATACCTCTTTATTTATGGATATGTATATGCAGACAATCAATGACGTGATCTCGGGCGTGCGTTGCTACCACCCATCCGTTAACTGCCGTTGTGCGAGTTGCTGAAAAACACGATAAGTCTAGTGTATTATATATCTATATCATTAATACATATATAAACTAGCCGGCAAAAGAAACGCCGCCAAACAAATAATGGTCGTCAGTTTTCAACACATTTGCCATACAGCACGATACCAGTTTGGAACACACAACTGGAATGCAACTTACCTATTCCCTGTGAACATGTGCACGTGTTTCACGTGATTTGCGAGAAAAGTGAATTAAATCACTGATAATGTAAAATGTGCACAAAGTTACCCGTATGAAATTCTAGTATAAAACATGAGCAGGATTTCTCTCTCTCATCACATTGAAACTGTCTAAAACAACGAACATGCATTGACTAACCGCAGAGCAGAGAGGGAGAGCCATCGGTATGTTGCAAATGGGAGCGACGCAGGAGCACGTTGCCAGGATCACGGGCTGCTTCAAGTGCATCATTGCGAGACTTGTCACGTGTCACAGGCAAACTGTCAGTACTGCAGACAGGCCGAGGAGTGGAAGACCCAAGGTCACGACCCCACAGGAAGACCTGTATTTACGGGTGCTTCACCTAAAGTCCAGATTCCTAACTGTGACGTCATCATCCGCAAACAGCCCTGGAGATCCAGTCTGCAGAATGACCGTTGCTTCACGACACCGCCTGTATGGTGTCCGTGCCTATCGACCTTTCAAGGGCATGACGTTAACGTTTCCACACCGACGTCGCAGGCTGAGATGGGCCAGGACTGCACAAATCTGGTCATCATCGACGGCAACCTCCCTGCTCGTCGTTACATTGATGAGGTTTTGCGGCCTATCGTACTGCCTTTCCTGCAACGACATCCGCTGTTCCAGCAGGACAACACCACCCCTCACACAGCTCGAGTCACTAGCGAATTTCTGAACGCCAACAACGTGACCGTATTACAGTGGCCAGCCAGATCACCGGACCTGGGACCAACTTTGACGCAAGATTCGGAAACGTCAACAGCCGCCATTGACTAGAGATGCCTTGGCAATTGTCCTGCAGGAACAATGGCGTAGGATCCCTAATCAGGATGTCAGGAGACTCGTGTACTCAGTTTCACGTTGTATTAGGGCCTGCGTCTATCCTGGAGGGAGGTCACATCCGATACTGAGCTATGTGTTTAGCACAGGACTTTAAAAGACATCAACGTCGATTCTGAGGGTGTCATCGAATACTGGACAGTGCACCCAGCATGATCTTGTCATTTTCAAATACCGTTTTGGAATAATTGTTTTTAAAATAAAACATCAACTGATACTAAATTTTGCTTCTGTTTTGTTTTAGACCAGAAATTTTTTTTTGCCCTTTAGTTTACTACTATAGCTTGGTTGTGGACAACGTTCGAATGACACGATGTCGGGTTCCAATCAAATTACACTCCATATGTCTCCAGCAACCCATGCTTGCAGTAAGAGGGGACTAACGGGGATCGGGTGGTCAGGTTTGCTGACTTGGTTGATGCATGTCACTTGATACAGCATCCGACCCATGCTTGTAAAAGACGGCTATGCTTTCAAATTCGTAAGAGGCGACTGACGGGATCGGGTGGATCGACTTGGTTGATGCACTATGCTTAATGACAGATGAAATCTGTTAGGGAATATTACCTAGGTTAGAATTGATCCTCATTCACATCGTTACCATGACTGCATGATTAGGGGATAACCAATCACTGTGTGCCGGGATATTTCAGTCTTTATTTGTAGGATGATTTTAGGATATCATCATAAATGTGAATACACGAAAGACGTCGACAGAGAGAAGGATTTCAAGTTTGAAACATATAGCTTGACATTTCGAACCTTTCTTTAATCAAATGTAACGTCATGAATTTTTATGCTTCCCATTGAGCAGTGATTTTCTTTAGGTTTGCTAACTGTTGGCGTAAGAAGTAGGTGTACTGTTCACTTCCAATGCCTGAGATATAAACATTTAACAATGAGCATTCAGTGCCTTACGTGTTTTTCGTTGATTCGGTAATTCATATTGACAACCTACTGAAAACAACGGGCTCATCCAATGCCGCATCACTAGCGTTTAATGGTAGATTTGAGATGTTTCCCTTAGATTAAAGCGTTAGGTTGGATTTGGAACAGACCATTCAGCTTTTAGTGCCGTAACAACATCAATTGGTAACATAGCTCTACATTGCAGATGTAGAATGTTTTTCTCCAAAGATAATTTAATATTTTCTGTGTTGGGGCTGGGATTTTAGAAAAAAAATAAGAAATGTCCAAGTTAATTTTTGAACCAATAATAATGCTTCAGGCTGTTGAAAAAAATATATTCAGGATCATAGTTTTTATTAATAAATATCTTGTGTTGCAGTGACAGCTGAAAAGAGTCTAATCTCGAGACAAAATCCCAGCCCCCAGCCACAGAATAGTAAACGGTCAGTCCCAGAATGAATGAGACTGAAAAGTGAATGACTATTTGTTTGAAACGTTACATACATTCTCGTGAAGTTCCTGGATAGATAAAACACTTCACTACGATAAAGTAATGATACCCAAACTTTGGGAATATTTTGTTTGAAAGTTGGATGATAATGATCAATATAATTGTTTAACTTACCGTTAATTTGGGGCCAGAGTGAAGGCACCTGAAATAAATAGTTGTATTCGTAAGTACTTTAAGCACATCAAACATCGAGTTTAGTGTGTGCCACAGACAGCAATATCACGGTGGCAAGTAACCAATCGAATTCCAGTATTAATTATTCGCTGAAACAGATTCCATTGGCGTCAGGGGCAATATGGCTGTGGAAATTATATGATAGGAGCACACAAAAAATCAGTGATGACACCAGGTGCTCGTAAACTTTAAAGATTTTGCTGCCTATAAGTAAAGAAAAACGTATAATAATATAAATATAATAAACGTTTAACCTATTCTTATTCTTAGGTACATGGAGAGGGGGGTATAGCTTGAATACTGCTGGGTGCGGCGTTAAACAACAAATAAACAAACAAACGTAAATCCTGCTGGAAACAGAAGCACCGTTAGTCCCAAAGCGAGGTGGCCTAGCTCTGTTCGTTTGTGTACTGGCTACCTACATTACCGTTTGAATTACTTACTTGAACAGCAGACCTGACCAGTTGGACACTGTCGAGCCTGAACGATTCCATCAGCGTTACAGACAATCGAAGGAACACATGAGAGTATCCCGGGTAAATCGCAAGCTGAAATGAGAGATATGTCAAAGCAAATATGTTCACGTATGTTTTGAATGTAAAGCGTGGGACTCTTTTGAAACAATTCTTTGTTTCTTACGTCTCACTCAGCAATATTCCAGCTTTATGACGACGGTATGTAAATAATCGAACCTGGACAATCCATTGGTTGACATCATGAGCATCGATCTACGCATTTGGGACACGATGACATGCATGAATCAAGTCAACGAACCTGACCACCCGATCCCATTAGTCGCCTCTTACGGCAAGCATGGGTCGTTGAAGATCTAATATCGCCACGGGCTTGAAACAAGACAAAGATGTATGCTATGTGAACGTTTCTAGTTACCGGAAACAAATTATATCCTTATGACACCGACTGACATAATACTCATTAACTGACTCGTATCTCTTGATCCTGATTTAACTTACGTGCCAAAGTCGTTGTTGCCATTGGTGTTATAGTAAAGAAATCTGAATGGAAAGAATGAGATTTATGAACATAAAATAAATTCTTTAATTCGTGCGGCATAATAAAGACGTTGGTGTGTATCTTTTAAAATACTTTAAAATATGCTGAGATAACTGCACGAACACTCTTACAATATAGGAAACGGGACTGCTTGTCATAAGAAAGTCTCAAAGAAAAAGTGTGTAATTATCGTTCGCGGCAAAATTTAACACATAGTTATCACTAAGGGGTGATCTCAGAGGTCGTATAATTACTTACTTGAACAGCACACCTGACCACTTGGACATTGTCGAGCCTGAACGATTCCATCAGGATCACAGGAACTCGAGGCGATACATGAAAGGATTCCGGGTAAATCGCATGCTGAAATTTGAGAATTGTTAACTGAATTTAATCATGTCTAATGCATTCACAACAGGTTCTATGTCCAAACACGACATTGAGAGTACCCATCTTTTAATGTGACTTCCATCCTATTGAAATGCACGCTCACCGTAATGTTAATCGCTTGTTGTGGCCAAAATTGGAGGCACCATGATCGCATTAACTGGATCCGGACTGAGGAGGTCAATGTACTTCTATTCAGAATCGGAATTCATGTTTTACCCTCCACATAGGCTTTAATGAATTAATCACAGTGACCTCACAATGACCTCTGCAGCAGAGAGTTGAATACCTAACAGTGCCTTTGCGGATCGACAAAGGTAAAGGTGCCTCCCTAACTTATTTCTTTATAACCCTTAATGTACATATTCTTGTAACTTACGTTGCAAAGCCGTTGTGGTCATAGGTTGTACTGAAACGATAACAAATACATCCTATTATTTTAGTGGCGCATTCCGCTATCCGTGATTCTAGCAAAAGGCGACTATGCTCGTGGCATGATGAGCCCAACGTCGTCTGGCTCGCTGGTTGATGCATGGTTGATGCATGGTTGACGCATGTCATGGCATCCTATTTGCGTGGATCGATGCTCATTATATCAATCACCGGATTGTATGGTCCAAACTCGAATATTGGCAATTTTTTGTTTGTTGTATAACCCCGCACTCAGCAATATTCCAGCTTTATGTCGTCAGTCTGTATATAATCGAGTCTGAATCAGACAATCCAGTGATTGATATTATGAGCACGATCCACGTAATTGGGATACGACGACACCCATCAACTAAATCAGCGAGCCTGACCACCGCACTCAGCAATATTCCAGTTATATGATTGCGGTCTGTAAATAATCGAGTCTGGACCAGACAATCCAGTGATTGATATCATCACGCAATTTTGGGATCGATGACATGCATCAACCAAGTCAGCGAGCCTGACCATCCGATCCCGTTTGTAGCCTTTTACGACAAGCATAGTTTGCCTCACAGCAAGCATGGGTTGCTGAAGACCTATTCAACCCCGGATGTATCATAAGCACGGATTTCTGACTCACTACGAAATAGTGATCATAAGAGTTTTTTGCTAAAAGGTTACGTTGCAACCATCACATACACATGAAAAGGCACTTGATCAAACAAGGAGGAATATTGTGTAAATCATAACTAAGTCAGAAACAAGTGAATTCAATCAGACATCTGATTTGTCACTGATGCTTCAAAGTTGGAAAATGTTCAGCGTGTGTCTACCGTGAAACTAATTCAGAGCCTTACTGAGTCCTTGATTGCTGTTGCTGTAATCAAACAACACTTGAGCTAGACCCGTATGCTGCTTTATGAAATCGTCGAAAAATGAGCAGGTTCGATCGTACCTAAAACGTTGTGATATGTCGACACCAAAGACGAGACCGGTTGCAATACAGCTCAACATACCATCCTTTTACGAAGAACTTTTCCCCAGTACGCCACAGCTGGTCCCACCACTAGGCATTCGGATTAAACCCCACATTACAGCTGCCAATATTGATGAAGATAATACTTCTCCTTTCAGGCTTCTGTCTTGGCAACTTATCAGACCGGAAGTAGATGTCGTATCGACCATTGGCGTTATACACATGAATATTTATTAAAAGGTGGAGATCCTCCATTCTGTATCCCTTGTGTTGAAAGAATCACAGTCGAGCATGTCTAGCTTAACTGTATTGATTTTTCCGCCACAAGGGATAATTATTTTCAGGTTTCATCCATCAAGGATCTTTTTAATCAGGTAAGTACTCATTTAATCTGGATTCTTTTAAAGAAATTGGGTTAATAGATAATAGAGATTTTGATAATATGTCTTGTAAAATGTAAGTGATTCGAATTTGGTAGAAAGATAATATAACTGTAATTGTAAGTGGCCGTACCTTCAAAGGGGGTTGAAGTAACGTAAAATAAATGTCCTTCTGAGAGGGAACGAAAGTCCCATTTCATTCAAAGTATTTTTAATTTTCCGTGATTTTAATCGCAGAATACTTGCTGGTTGTTACATGCTTTTGGCTTAAACTTTCTAACAATCACCAGTTGCCAGAGGGAGGGTGTAAATCCTGCTGGGGTATCACGTAGGAACCAGATGTACCGTATGTCACCGTGGTGCCTTTTACGGTGGCTTAACTTTAGTTACCGGTGATCTCTAGCCAATTTTTATAATATATTGTACTGAATAGTCAATTTTTAATAGTTACTTACTAGTTTTATGTCTATAGCTATGTTGGTCTAGTTCTTTAACTGTCCTTTGTCGACAGTTTCTTTAGTCTATATTCATGCGTTATTTCTGTACAACTTGATTTCGTCACGATATGGCTGAAATATTGCCGATGTAACTATAAATCTTAACTCACCAACTAATTTCATCTCTACAAACTTATCTCAGTATGAAACAGATGAGGCTGTGTCACGGGTCTCTTCTATTTCCAATTCACAAGGGTAAATACATATCCAAATACTACTATGTTGGTCTTATTTTAATAAACCTATTTTGGGGTTATGATTCCAAAGCATCATTTTTTCTTTGGAGCCCAATTACACTGTCGTCAACAACAGTTATTATCAGTTGAAACTGTTTTTTTGTTTTTTTTTATGAAGCACCTTCTCTAAATGCCTGTTTTTAAATTTCGCCAATCCGTGCAGAACTTCTGATTCCTATGCATAAAGCAACCGATCGGGAAGAAGAGGGGCTCAATCGGTGACCATAACCATGCCTACTTCCTGCCTGATTGTCGTATTTCCAAATTTAACATAGCTGGTGTCTACGAGGAAGGCCAATATTTCACAAAAATTGTTGTCTATGTCATCTTCAGATGACATTTCCTTCAAATAATATTCTAAAGCACACTAGTGAATACATATGTTAACACTCTTAATCTACCAACAGTATAATATATTCACCCGCAATCCCATTGTTATTCCCCCTGTTGCCAAACAACATTAAACTGTACATGTAACTGTAAGTACATCTAAAAACATTACCTGTTCAAAAAAAATTATTTCGAAGAACATTGGGGAATGTTCGTACACTTCATCCCTTCACTCAAACCTTTGAGGAATTATCTGGCCTGAAAGTTATTTTCGATTCATAATGAATACACAGTTTGTATCTCCACGGTAGGTTGTTTTTAACATTCAAACGCATGGCTGATTGTTTTTACGGAATCGGATATTATAAGCAAAACGTGCTTTTTTGTATTCCCTTATACTCCCCACTACATAAACATCAGTGAATTGTGTCAAGCAGCCCTTGAGCCATAATGGCTGACACGCTAAGGTTCATTGGTGCCAATAGCATCGTATGTTATGGTGTCACTGAGAACTGAGAAATGTATTTGTACGCAGTCCATGTATTTCTTTAATTGCCCTCAATGTAGATAGTCTTGGTACTTACGTGCCGTGGTCGTGGGTGGTGCTGAAATTGTAAGGAATGTGTTAAGATGTCACTCATGTCACGCATAGAAACATGTCAGATTCACCAGGGTTTCAATAATGGTGTACAAAGTTTATAAAAACCTTCTTTTTTAGACTGAAAAAAATTAGTTAACACAGTCTAGTGAATTGTGTCAAGCAGACATGGGGCCATAATGGCCGACTCGCTGAGGTTCGTGTGTTGCTGAAAGCATCACACTTTATAGTGTCACTAAGAATTGAGAAATGTATTTGTACGCAGTCCATGTATTTCTTTAATTGCCCTTAATGTAGATAGTCTTGTTACTTACGTGCCGTGGTCGTTGGTGGTGCTGAAATGGTAAAGAAGGTGTTAAGATGGTGCTCATTTCTTCAGTAATGGTCTACATAAAAGCAACAAACCATTTCTATATTCAGCAAATTATCTGCTAAAATGAAGGCCCAATGTACGCTTCCAACTATGTCAACAACATGTTTTTTAATCACTGTAGAATGTTGATGATATCAGGTGTTCGTTGAAAGGTGAGACTGTCCTGACCCAGCGCATCAGCCACACACACATGTAAAGGTTCATTAATTTAACAAATTCCTTTCCACACAAACCTGTATCATGTACAAATACTATGAAACTACTAACTGCATAATATATTCATTCAGAAACAGATTCTGTCAAAACAAAATCACCGTGATGATGAACTATTTTAATTATACAAATAATTTGCCAAATCCTTCTTTGCCCAAGTCTTGTGGATTTGTTTTGCCGTCTGAAGTGTTACTCATGAATCTTAAATATGAAACAGTTGAGGTGGTTTTACTTGTCGTTTTTATAAAACAATTTCTAGATCAGACAGGTAAATAAGTGTGAGGGAATTTGTCTTTTGAGCTCAGAATTGAGAAAAAATAAGTGTATATTTATCTAAGTCGTCTTGTAACTTACGTGGCGGGGACGTTGTGGTCGGTGGCGCTCCTAAAAGGGTAAAAAGGGCGTTAACATGTAACTCACTTCTTCAGTAGTGCTTTGAAGTTAGAAGCGACAAAACCCTGTCCGTAAACATGAGAAAGCTCTGCTAAAAGGAGAGTCTATTGTACGATTCCTTTTACGGGACTACATAATGAGCATGAGTAGTTGAATAGTAGCAAAATAGTTCTTATGCCAGATGTTCGCTAAAAGGTGAGTGTGTTCTGCCCACCGATTGCACCCAATACAAACACACTCAAAGGTAAGGCAAGTGTTCACCTTAACATACACGGAATATATGCCACAAGTCAAAATATGAATTTCCATCGGTCATCATTTTGGTCACTGGTGCGTCAAAATAGAAGTGTCCTTCATGAAAATTTTGAACGTTTTACTTAAGCATTGAATACAGCATCATCGATCACAAGTTTTTAGAATGAGTCATATGACACTCTTTGAAAGAGACCATGTTCGATTGTACCTCAAAAGATGATCAATAATAAAGGATAGAGTTGCTGCAATATTACTCGTCATGAAGGAAAGTTTACTGTTGAATCTTTATACACTGACCCAAATATGAAACAGATCAGGCAGCTTCACTGGTCTCTTTTATTTCTAGTTTATATAGGTAAATGAATAGGAAGGCATGTGTCTATGTAAACAATATCAGATGATCGACCTGAAGTTTAAGTTAAACTTGATTCATGTGTTTTGATATTCCCAACCCGAAATTCTTATGCATATAGAAACAGATCAGCAAAGAGGGGATCACACTTTTAGCTCTTGTCTAAATGTCTCCATCATCAAAGAATCATCGACAATTTCTTCTAAAAGTCCTCTGTGCGAATCCAAACCCCCACAACATTAAATAAAACACATAAATTAAGAATCATGCTTGATAATCGAAAGTACAAACACTTGTCACCATCAGCGAATTCGCTCTGTACTTGCGCGTGCAACCAGGTCATTGCACGCTTACAAGGCCATGAATAAGAAAACAATCACACATGCAAAGTACACATGGAACCAAGTCCTGGTGTCTCTTCTGTGAAAAGCGACTTTGTTGACGACCAAACCGTATAACCGTTACACAGATACATATTTTCAGCAAATACGGAAGAATAAGATGCTTCGGAAAAAATCCGTATTTCATCAGAGATTTTTTCTGTCACTGATGCGCCAAATTTGTAAATGTCTTGCATGTGTCTGCCATAAACATTTAAAAAGGTGACGCAATGAGTATATCAAAGGTGAAGTTATTCCTCTTGTCATACAATGTTAAGAATAGATTTTTTGTTACTCGGAATTTAATGCATAGATCTATACATAAAACAGATTCGCCGGTTAAACGGCTCTCGTTTATTTCAGCTTCATTTGGGTAAATGTGTTAAAGGGAATAAGTCTATCGAAGTTTAACTTGTACTTCTTATTGAAATTCAGGCGATTATGCTTGTCATAAGAGGCGACTAACGGGATCGGGTGGTCAGGCTCACTGACTTGGTTGATGCATGTCATCGATCCCAATTGCCTGCATCATTGCTCATGAAATTAATCACTGGATTGTCAGGTCCAGACTTGATTATTTACAGACCGCCGTCATATATATCTGGAATATTGCTGAGTGCAGCGTTTAACAACAAACCAACTAACCGATTATTCAAATTCCTGTGTTTTGGTTTTCTCAATCTGAGCAGAAATTCTTATTCATGTGCATAAAGAAACCTGTTCTGTAGTTTTGCCGAAATGTTGTTTTCCAAGAGTCTACAAAGATATGCTGATGAAGCCATGTAATTCATGTATTGTTTCATCAGTAAACGTGAGATGACATTGTTTGAATAATATTCTATTCCCAACAAACTTGTACAATACATAAACATACTGCAACAAACAAACAGAAAAACACATCACCCTGAAGCAGATTCTGTCAAGACGAAATCACACTGATGATGACCTATCAATTAGTGACAATTATACAGATCTTTACCTGAAAAGAATAGAGATGGGCAAATTTCCTTTCGTAAATAACTTTCCAGCAATGTCATTGGCTGGATAACATCTTATGTAACTTGAGTAAACTCCGCATCCTAGGAGGACTTACCGACACAGCACATTTGACCAGCTGGACACTGGAGACCAGGTACTGGGATAGTACAGGTACCACTGGCAACACACCCGATGCCAGGAAGATTGCATTCTGAAAATGAGGATTTTTATCAACAACAGAACTAAGTTGAATACTTCTAGTGGATGCATTAATATTAGAGCGATACGGAAAACGTAATCTTGACATCCCTTCTCTAAAATCTCATGGATTGTGATGAATTTTCAGTCCTGAAAGTTAGCTTGCATTCCTTCCAAATTTACAATTTTCCACTCCAAGATAGGATGTTATCATTATTATTGAATCAAAGAATGTTAACATATACTATTTCATGAATGTCCTTATTTGATCATCCCTTTATGTAGGCATTATAGAATTCATGTTATCAAGATCGACTCAAGGCAATTACTGAATACTTCCAAATGTTATTGAGGACTGTGAAATTTAAATGTACATATCCCATTTATTTTTTAATTGTCTTTTATGTAAATAGATTTGTAACGTACGTGGCAAGGTCATTGTTGTCGTTGGTGCTGAAATTGTAAAAATTCCTCTCCATAATCATGAGAAATTTCTGATTCCCACTATATCATAATCAGATGTCGTTGAAGCGCTATAGAATAATGACGATACTATGTGTTTGCTAGAAGGTTAGTTTTTCAGAACACACCGGTTGTCCACATCATTTACATAAGCAAAGACAAGTCAAGTGTTTACCTAAACAAATACGGGAACATATGGTATTCTCAAATTTGCATAGAAACATGTCAGATTCACCAGGGTTTCAATAATGGTGTACAAAGTTTATAAAAACCTTCTTTTTTAGACTGAAAAAAATTAGTTAACACAGTCTAGTGAATTGTGTCAAGCAGACATGGGGCCATAATGGCCGACTCGCTGAGGTTCGTATGTTGCTGAAAGCATCATACATTATAGTGTCACTAAGAATTGAGAAATGTATTTGTACGCAGTCCATGTATTTCTTTAATTGCCCTTAATGTAGATAGTCTTGTTACTTACGTGCCGTGGTCGTTGGTGGTGCTGAAATGGTAAAGAAGGTGTTAAGATGGTGCTCATTTCTTCAGTAATGGTCTACATAAAAGCAACAAACCATTTCTATATTCAGCAAATTATCTGCTAAAATGAAGGCCCAATGTACGCTTCCAACTGTGTCAACAACATGTTTTTTAATCACTGTAGAATGTTGATGATATCAGTAGTTCGTTGAAAGGTGAAACTGTCCTGACCCATCGCATCAGCCACACACACATGTAAAGGTTCATTAATTTAACAAATTCCTTTCCACACAAACCTGTATCATGAACAAATACTATGAAACTACTAACTGCATAATATATTCATTCAGAAACAGATTCTGTCAAAACAAAATCACCGTGATGATGACCTCTTTTAATTATACAAATAATTTGTCAAATCCTTCTTTGCCCAAGTCTTGTGGATTTGTTTTGCCGTCTGAAGTGTTACTCATGAATCTTAAATATGAAACAGTTGAGGTGGTTTTACTTGTCGTTTTTATAAAACAATATCTAGATCAGACAGGTAAATAAGTGTGAGGGAATTTGTCTTTTGAGCTCAGAATTGAGAAAAAATAAGTGCATATTTATCTAAATCGTCTTGTAACTTACGTGGCGGGGACGTTGTGGTCGGTGGCGCTCCTAAAAGGGTGAAAAGGGCGTTAACATGTAACTCACTTCTTCAGTAGTGCTTTGAAGTTAGAAGCGACAAAACCCTGTCCGTAAACATGAGAAAGCTCTGCTAAAAGGAGAGTCTATTGTACGATTCCTTTTACGGGAGTACATAATGAGCATGAGTAGTTGAATCACTATCAAAATAGTTCTTATGCCAGGTTTTCGCTAAAAGGTGAGTGTGTTCTGCCCACCGATTGCACCCAACACAAACACACTCAAAGGTAAGGCAAGTGTTCACCTTATCATACACGGAATATATGCCATAAGTCAAAATATGAATTTCCATCGGTCATCATTTTGGTCACTGGTGCGTCAAAATAGAAGTGTCCTTCATGAAAATTTTCAACGTTTTACTTAAGCATTGAATACTGCAACATCGATCACAAGTTTTGAGAATGAGTCATATGACACTCTTTCAAAAAGACCATGTTCGATTGTACCTCAAAAGATGATCAATAATAAGGGATGGAGTTGCTGCAATATTACTCGTCATGAAGGAAAGTTTACTGTTGAATCTTTATACACTGACCCAAATATGAAACAGATCAGGCAGCTTCACTGGTCTCTTTTATTTCTAGTTTATTTAGGTAAATGAATAGGAAGGCATGTGTCTATGTAAACAATATCAGATGATCGACCTGAAGTTTAAGTTAAACTTGATTCATGTGTTTTGGTTTTCCCAACCCGAAATTCTTATGCATATAGAAACAGATCAGCAAAGAGGGGATCACACTTTTAGCTCTTGTCTAAATGTCTCCATCATCAAAGAATCATCGACAATTTCTTCTAAAAGTCCTCTGTGCGAATCCAAACCCCCACAACATTAAATAAAACACATAAATTAAGAATCATGCTTGATAATCGAAAGTACAAACACTTGTCACCATCAGCGAATTCGCTCTGTACTTGCGCGTGCAACCAGGTCATTGCACGCTTACAAGGCCATGAATGAGAAAACAATCACACATGCAAAGTACACATGGAACCAAGTCCTGGTGTCTCTTCTGTGAAAAGCAACTTTGTTGACGACCAAACCGTATAACCGTTACACAGATACATATTTTCAGCAAATACGGAAGAATAAGATGCATCGGAAAAAATCCGTATTTCATCAGAGATCTTTTCTGTCACTGATGCGCCAAATTTGTAAATGTCTTGCATGTGTCTGCCATAAACATTTAAAAAGGTGACGCAATGAGTATATCAAAGGTGAAGTTATTCCTCTTGTCATACAATGTTAAGAATAGATTTTTTGTTACTCGGAATTTAATGCATAGATCTATATATAAAACAGATTCGCCAGTTTAACGGCTCTCGTTTATTTCTCTTCATTTGGGTATATGTGTTAAAGGGAATAAGTCTATTAATCGAAGTTTAACTTGTACTTCTTATTGAAATTCAGGCAATTATGCTTGTCATAAGAGGCGACTAACGGGATCGGGTGGTCAGGCTCACTGACTTGGTTGATGCATGTCATCGATCCCAATTGCCTGCATCGATGCTCATGAAATTAATCACTGGATTGTCTGGTCCAGACTTGATTATTTACAGACCGCCGTCATATATAGCTGGAATATTGCTGAGTGCAGCGTTTAACAACAAACCAACTAACCGATTATTCAAATTCCTGTGTTTCTTATTCGTGTGCAAAAATAAACCTGTTCTGTAGTTTTGCTGAAATGTGGTTTTTCAACAGTCTACAAAGATATGCTAATGAAGCCATGTATTTCATGTATTGTTTCATCAATAAACGTGAGATGACATTGTTTGAATAATATTCTATTCCCAACAAACTTGTACAATACATAAACATACTGCAACAAACAAACAGAAAAACACATCACCCTGAAGCAGATTCTGTCAAGACGAAATCATATTGATGATGACCTATCAATTAGTGACAAATATACAGATCTTTACCTGAAAAGAATAGAGATGGGCAAATTATCTTTTCGAAAATAACTTTCAAGCAATGTCATTGGCTGGATAACATCTTATATAACTTGAGTAAACTCCGCATCCTAGGAGTACTTACCGACACAGCACATTTGACCAGCTGGACACTGGAGACCAGGTACTGGGATAGTACAGGTACCACTGGCAACACACCCGACGCCAGGAAGATTGCATTCTGAAAATGAGGATTTTTATCAACAACAGAACTAAGTTGAATACTTCTAGTGGATGCATTAATATTAGAGCGATACGGAAAACGTAATCTTGACATCCTTTCTCTAAAATCTCATGGATTGTGATGAATTTTCAGTCCTGAAAGTTAGCTTGCATTCCTTCCAAATTTACAATTTTCCACTCCAAGATAGGATGTTATCATTATTATTGAATCAAAGAATGTTAACATATACTATTTCATGAATGTCCTTATTTGATCATCCCTTTATGTAGGCATTATAGAATTCATGTTATCAAGATCGACTCAAGGCAATTACTGAATACTTCCAAATGTTATTGAGGACTGTGAAATTTAAATGTACATATCCCATTTATTTTTTAATTGTCTTTTATGTAAATAGATTTGTAACGTACGTGGCAAGGTCATTGTTGTCGTTGGTGCTGAAATTGTAAGAATTCCTCTCGATAATCATGAGAAATTTCTGATTCCCACTATATCATAATCAGATGTCGTTGAAGCGCTATAGAATAATGACGATACTATGTGTTTGCTAGAAGGTTAGTTTATCAGAACATACCGGTTGTCCACATCATGTACACAAGCAAAGACAAGTCAAGTGTTTACCTAAACAAATACGGGAACATATGGTATTGTAAAAATTGCATACATGTCAGATTCACCAGGGTTTCAATAATGGTGTACAAAGTTAAAAAAACCTTTTTTAGACTGAAAAAAATTAGTTATCACAGTCTAGTGAATTGTGTCAAGCAGACATTGGGCAATAATGGCCGACTCGCTGAGGTTCGTATGTTGCTGAAAGCATCATACATTATAGTGTCACTAAGAATTGAGAAATGTATTTGTACGCAGTCCATGTATTTCTTTAATTGCCCTTAATGTAGATAGTCTTGTTACTTACGTGTCGTGGTCGTTGGTGGTGCTGAAATGGTAAAGAAGGTGTTAAGATGGTGCTCATTTCTTCAGTAATGGTCTACATAAAAGCAACAAACCATTTCTATATTCAGCAAATTATCTGCTTAAATGAAGGCCAAATGTACGCTTCCAACTATGCCAACATGTTTTTTAATCACTGTAGAATGTTGATGATATCAGGTGTTCGTTGAAAGGTGAGACTGTCCTGACCCATCGCATCAGCCACACACACATGTAAAGGTTCATTAATTTAACAAATTCTTGTCCACACAAACCTGTATCATGTACAAATACTATGAAACTACTAACTGCATAATATATTCATTCAGAAACAGATCTGTCAAAACAAAATCACCGTGATGATGACCTCTTTTAATTATACAAATAATTTGCCAAATGGATGAGAGATGAGGGGCCAATAAACCTTTCAATTTCATTCCTTCGAAAAACTGATGTTATATAACTTGGGTAAACTACGTATCTTAGGAGTACTTACAGACGCAGCAAACCTGACTACTTGGACATTGGCGATTAGGAATTGGGATAGTACAGCTACCAGTGCCAACACATGCGATGCCAATAAGATTGCAGGCTGAAAATGAGGATTCGTCTTATATATTGAATGAAGTTACTTTGGATTGATATGGACATTATGATTGACATTTTCCCTTTTCTCATCCTTTGAGCAACCAAAACAGACATATACAGTTTAAATACAGTTACCTATAATAGAAATGGATACATTGGATTGGAAAACGTAAAATAGGGATCAGATCAAGGAAATCTTATGGATTGTGATGAATTATCAGTCCCTTAAGTAAGTGGCCATTAATTCTAAAATTGACATATTTTATTGATTCGGGAAAACATTTCATATATTTTCTTATTCGCCCCTTATTATACATATAAAAACATTATTTCAAGCTCTGGGGCTATCATGTAATTGTCTGTAACCAATAGCTTAATATCTCATACAGTCACATATGAATTATAAGTGGATGTCCCCAATAAATTCTTAAATTGGCCTATATCAAGACAATCTTGTAACTTACGTGGTAAGGTCGTTGTTGTTGGTGGTGCTGAAATTGTACAAATTCCTTTCTAAAATCATATGAAATATCTCATTCCTACTATATCAAAACCATATGTTTTTGAATCACTGTAGAATAGTGATGATACTATGTTTTTGCGAGAAGGTGAGCGTTTCGGAACCAACCAGTGGTACACATCATAAACACATGCAATGGCAAGTCAAGTGTTTACCTGAACAAATACGGGAACATGTGGTATTGTCACAATTGCATAGAAACAATACAGAATTTCGGCAGACATCGAATGGTTTCACTGAAGCGTCAAATGAGGAATGTTATTCATTCACATGTCCACCATAAGAAGGTCTTCAAACCTTTCAGTTATCAGTATGACGCTCTTTGAAATCCTCTTAGAGAGGGCATGCACGATTGACCTCAAAAGATTTGAAATGTAGACGCCAAAGGTTGAGGGTTACTGGAATATTGCTTGACATAAAGGAACAATAATGACTATTGCAAAGTTGAAGTTATCCCAACTTGTTACATACTCTTGTGGAAACTTTTTTGTCCTTCTCCTCAAACATCAAAATATGATAAAACAAATGGTGTGGTTTGGAAGGTCTTGTTTGTTTTTTAGTTCAGACAAGTTAACATAAGTGAAAGAGAATTAATCTGTTTGACCATTATTGAATTATATCAGATCATTGAAGCTTAAGATACAAACCTTAAGCTATACAGCTGTCGTGTTTTGATTTTCCCTGTTCGTTCAGAAAGTCATAAGTCTTATGCATTAGGAAACAGATCAGGGAGAAATGGAGCACGATTTGTGAGTATTGGTATTCCTACTTCGTTTTTGACAAATTGTCCCGAACCTCTGAAGATAGGTATGCATCTATGGTCACCAGGGTTTCAAACAAAAGCCCTATGGATCAAGGAATGAAGTTTTCCCTTATGTTTGTCATGTGGAATAAGGGTATAGAAAGTAGAAAAAACAAATATTTTGGCAGAGTTGTACTTGGTTCTTTTTTAAAATTGCAAAATATCAAGCCAAATCCTTATTTCCTACAGTCTTGTTGATATTTTTTTTCCGTCTGAATTGTTACTCATAAATCTAAAATATGAAACAGTTGATGTGGTTTGGTTTTAAAGAACAATTCCTTGATCAAATAGGTAAAGAAGTGTAAGGCAATTGGGTTTTTTTACCATTATTCATTTATATCAGCGCTTTGAAGCTGAAGTTATGAACTTTGTCAAAGCTCCAGTGTTTTCGTTTCGTCAATCTGTGTAGAAATTCTTATTCCTATGCGTAAACAAGCCATCGGGAAGAAGAGTGTCACAATCAGTGACCTTAAGCATACCTATTTCTTGCCTGAATGTCGTATTTCCAAATTACACATAGTTGATGTCTAAGAAGAAGCCCGTTATTACACAAAATTACCATCATCTTCAGATGACATTTGCTTCGAACAATATTCTAATACACACACGTGAATGCATATGTTAATACTCTTAATCTACCCACAGTCCAACATATTCATCCGTAATCCGTTGGTATTCCCCCTTTTGCCAAGCAACATATAACTGATAATGAAGTATTAATACAGCTTATAACCCAGATGCAAGAGAGATGAGGGTGAATTATCTGTTCAATAATTGATTTATAACGAAGAACATTTGAGAAATATGGTACACTCAATCTTGTCATCCCTTCACTCAAACCTCATGGATTATGATGTATTATCGGGCCTAAAAGTTATTTTCAGTTTATAATATATACACAGTTTGTATTTCCACGGTACGTTATTAGAATTCAAACGCATGTTGGATTGTTTTCTTTGAATCGTATATTATTAGCAAACATACTTTTATTTATTTCCTTATTCTCCCCTTTATATAAAACATCAGTGATTTGTGTCAAGCAGCCCTTGAGCCATAATGTCCGACACGCTGAGGTTAATATGTTGCCAATAGCATCATATATTATAGTGTAACAGAGGATTGAGAAACGTATTTGTACACAGTCCATGTATTTTTTTAATTGCCCTAAATGTAGATAGTCTTGTTACTTACGTGGCGTGGTCGTTGGTGGTGCTGAAATGGTAAAGAAGTTGTTAAGATGGCGCTCATTTCTTCTTTAATGGTCTACATAAAAACAACAAACCATTTCTATATTCAGCATAGTCTCTGCTAAAAGGTGAGCCCAATGCACGCTTCCAACTGTGTCAACAACATGTATTTTTAATCAATGAGGAATGTTGATCACTTCAGGTGTTCGTTGAAAGGTGAGAGGTGGGAATTAGTTTATTTCACCATTATTGAATTCTAACAGATGACTGTAGCCTGAGATATACACCTGAAGTTATACAATTGCCGTGGTTTGATTGTGCCCGTCCGTGCAGAAAGTAATGAGTCCAACGCAAAAGGAAACAGATCAGGGAGAAGTGGAGCGCAAGTTGAGTTCACGGGGATGCCTACTTTGTTTTTTACAAATTGTCCTGAACCTCTGAATACAGATATGTATCTATGGTCACCGGAGTTTTAAACAAAGCACAATGTATCAAGGAATGAAGTTTTCCCTTAAGTTTGGCATGTGGAATAATGTGTACAACGTTGTAATAAAATGTTTTGACAGGGTTTTGAACTTGGTTCTCTTTCTGAGATTGCAAAAAAACAAGCCAAATCCTTATTTCCTACAGTCTTGAGGATATGCTTTTGTCCGTCTCAGTTATTACTCATTAATTAATAAAATGAAGCTGTTGAGGTGGTTTTATTTTTCGTTTCTTATATTTAAAAAAGGCCTCTGGACCAGACAGGTAAATAAATGTAAGGAAATTTGTCTTTTGACCTGAGGATTGAGAAAATATATTTATGCAGTTTTATATTTATGGAGAACGTCTTGTAACTCATGTGGCGGGGACGTTGTGGTCGGTGGCGTTCCTAAAAGGGTGTTAAAATGTAGCTCACTTCTTCAGTAGTCTTTTGCAGTTAAAAGCAACAAAACCCTGTCAGTAAACATGAGAAAGCTCTGCTAATAGGAGAGTACATTGTACGATTCCTTTTACGGGTGTACATAATCAGCATGAGTGCCTATTCCAGGTGCTTATGCCAGGTGTTCGCTGAAAGGTGAGTGTGTTCTTCCCACCGATTGCACCCAACACAAACACACGCAAAGGTAAGGCAAGAGGTCACCGTAACAAACACGGAATATATCCCACAAGTCAAAATAAGAATTTCCATCTGTCATCATTTTGGTAACCGATGTATAAAAATAGAGTGTCCTCCAAAAAACTTTTTCAACGTCTTACTTAAACTTTGAATACTCCAACACTGATCACAAGTTTTGAGAATGAGTCATGTGACACTCTTTGAAAAAGAGCATGTTCGATTGTGCCTCCAAAGATGATCAATATAGACACCAAAGGGTAGAGTTGCTGCAATATTTCTCGTGATGAAGGAAAGTTTACTGTTGAATCTTTATATACTGATCAAAATATGTCTTCAGGTAAATGAATGGTATTTCTCTATGTGATGCTTATTGAACAATATCAGATGATCGACATACCTGAAGTTTAAATTTAACTTAATTCATGTGTTTTTACTTTTCCCACCCGAAATTGATATGCATAATGAAGCAGATCAGAAAGGAGGGGATCACACTTTTAGCTTTCGCCTAAATGTCTCTATCATCAAATATGTTCAAACAATCACGTCTAAAAGTCCTTTGTACGAATCCTACTGCACCAATGGGAAAAATCCACTACACCATAAACCAACACACGAAAATCTGTATCATGTCCTCGTGGAACTAAGTTCTCTTGTTTTAACTGTGAAAAACAACTTTTGTCGACGACCAAACCTTGTAAACGTTATGCGACGTCTATCTGAAAATGAGCGGTTGCATGCCACTGGAATGCTTGAAACCAAAATTGCACAAAACGTTGGAACTAGGCATATCGGTTGTCATTAGCAATAGACTCGAAACACTAGGGAGTACAGTCCTACGTACAACCCCCTTAGCAGTGCTCGATCTGAGCACATCTAAGATCTCTGTTGCTGTCAACACCAATTTTCTGGTGGACAATTAATTAACACACTGGGGGGTTGGGGTGAGGTGCGGGAGAAATTCTCCAGCATCTGGATGGTTTAGGATTTCTTGCTAACTTGAATAAAGATAAACAATCTAATTTTAGCTACAGTTAATATTCCATGGTTCTCCCACTTCGATTTGTTTTACTCTCCTCAACAAGCTGTGTACACACGTGGACATAGAAATATCTTGTGAGAGAATACATTTTATCAGTGAAGTTAATATATTCATCACACAAAGTGCTACATTTATGAGCCTGGATACATCATGAAGTTGGGTGAGTAATGTTTTAAGTTATTCCTAGTGACTTCTGTAAATATATATTTATTTAGAGATGTATGTGTATTGAGAAATGATAACATACACACCAGTTACCATTTACTTTCGAGAAAAACAGTTGAAACGTAAATCCAAACAGAATTATCTAACCTAATTATAATTAATTGTATATTTGATAAACTAATTCCTTGATAATGTATACACTCTTTGAAACCATATTGAAACTTAATTTGGGTATGAAAAAACAGCATAATACCAGCAAGCAAACTTTTTCTTTTAGGCTTGCTTAACAAGGATGTTTGGGCTGAGCACAATACCGGTTTTAGTTGATAAGGAGAACAAATGGATCAACATTGAGGACTTCTGTAAATTTTTGAGGACTGAACACCATGAAGAAGACAGAATAAAGATAAAAAAAGAAAATATCCGAAGAGAAGTTGCTTCCTATCGCAATAATTATATCAAGACAGACGGAAATGCAATTTTTCTCAATACAGTTGCAATTGTAAAATACATATGTCACCACAGTGATGACTTTAGAATATGCTCAAAGATAACACAGAGCATTCACAGCAGTATATTTGGAGGCCAACAGAAAACAAACTCAAGAACATTATTTGACTTATATAAACAGATTGCAACATCACAATTTACACATGATATCAATGACCTTATTGATTGCACTGCCATTGAATCAGATGTTCCGAACTTGGAAATATTATACAAGAAGCATTTCACAGAGAAGGAGTGGTCTAACATTTGTTTGTTTGAGTTGCACTTTGCAAATGACATTGTAGCGAATGAGCGTGATAATACCACTGACAAAAAATGGGAATATTTTGGAACAGTTGCCAGTGCAAAACATCTTAGCAGTGCTATACTGAAAACTGCAAAATCCACAATCACAAGACGACTAGACAGATATAGTTCGCACATTGAAGCAGAAGGCATTGAGATATACGCAACATTTCGTCATCGCCCTCATATTGTAGAAAATCAAATATTAAATGATCTAACTAACATTTTCCCTGGAGAAATACTATCAGTCACCTGCGTGAGTTGCCATTGTGTTTCAACCAAAAATCATCAAGATCTTGTGGAGGTGTTTGTGGAATGTAACCCAGCAATTGAGGAAAGAAATGCTGAACTTCTACAAAGGATCATTACCAGTAGACTGAATCAAGAGCACTGCTTACAATGTCATCTTATTGTGTTGTTTCCACTTGGATCACTTGAACCATATTACCAAAAGAATGGCCAAATTGCAAGGTTAAGTCTTCATGATGACTTTCGCATGAAGAAACTTCAAAGTGAAAACTTTCTGCAGCTCAATGCTCTTTCACAAAATGAAGTTACAGAGATTTCCCTCGATTCCCGTGAAAAATGTCGATCTTGTTTCACAGCAAATCTACCGAAACCACTCTCTGTCTCTAACTTTGAAATCCTTAAGGAATGGACTTTGGATGTACCACTGGTTGTGCAAATCGTCTTGGATACATTCATCAACAAAGATACCATTCAGCAATCTAATAACACCCAAAAGACCATGAAGAAGAAATTGGAACGACTCTATACAGCTTATGACCTGCTATTGAATACTTACAACAAGAATTTTATCGGAGTTCTGCAGGAGGCAACAACTGATGAGCTTCTAATGAACTACCATAGCATAAGCAATGTCTTCTCAATAACAAGTGCTTCTGGAATAACAACATCTTTGTCTCTTGCTGAAAGAAATTTAACAAGCAAATCCATTGATGACACCTTGTACTTTGCAACCTATGTCAAGGAACATCCTCTCACATATAATACCTTAGCAGGTGAAGTGAAGGGCATGGTGAGCATGAGAGGATGCCACATAGTGCTGATGCTTGACAATCTTGTCCGCCTGAAGTATCACAGTGACCCAAGCCCAGGAGAACATCGTTCGAAACAGCTCTGCATGTTGCCAATAACACTGCAAGGCATGCCAAAGGATTCAGTTGAAACAGAATCTTGGCATGATGCAAACATATGCGACGGGACACTTGCATGCCAATGCAAACGACAAATATCACTGTCAAAACCTGAAGCTTTTGATGTCATTCTGAATCCTTCCACACAAGAAACAACCAGTATTGGAATATTTCACAAGATTTGCCGATGGGGAAGTACCCGATTGTGGAGACTACTAGATGGTAAGCATAGTTACTTTTGTACTTGTAATAAGTCTTTCCCATTTTACATAAATACTTGAAAAACCTATACTCTGTGATGAGCAGAAAACCAAATTCATTTGCCTATATACAGTTACCTTCATAGTTCTATTCAAAGTTAATAATGTTACATCCACAGAATTAAATGAAGATTGTTACACGTTTCAGATGGCTTGTGTACGAAAACAGCATGGCTACGGACATATTTCAAGGAAATGACACCTGAAAAAAATGAAGATCTTCAGGAAGGCTGTGATGTACAGACCCAGGACCAAATAGATGTTGGTGATTCTGTTGCTGCAGATGTCACCATGTATGATGTGGAATCTCCATTGCAGGTGCGTGTGAGTGTGAGTGTGTGTGTGTGTGTGCGAGTGTGTGTGAGTATGCGCGTGTGTGTGTGCGAGAATGTGTGTGTGTGTGTGAGTGCGTGTGAATGTGAGTGTGTGTGTGTGTGGGGGGGGGGTGAGTGTGAGTGTGCGAGTGTATGTGCATGTGAGTGTGTGTGTGCATGCATGTGAGTGTGTGTG